GGTTTCGAGTCGCTGAGGTGAACCATCTTCCATTAACGTCTGTCTCTCCCTCAGGCGAGGCACCTCTATATCTGCGACTTCCACAAAAACTTAATCCAGAGCGTGAGGAACCGGAGGAAGAGGAAAGGCAGCGACGACGATGGCGACTCGCCCGTGCAAGACGTCGACGCTCCGGAGGTAGCGAAACACCTTGTGGGGTTGGGTTTTGGGTTTTTTTGGGTTTTTTTGTTTGTTTGTTGGGGTTTTTTTTTTTTGGGGGGGGGTGTTTTTGCTTTTTTTTGTTGTTTGTTGTTTTTTTTTTTTTTTCCTTAATTGTGTTAAGCTGCTTCTGCGCTTTTCCGCCCTCGGCGTATTTTGGGGCGTGCGGGGAAAAGGGAAGGCTCCTGTGTCACTCCGTTCTGAGCATAACAAAAGCTGACTGAGTTTTACACTGTGTTTTCTGTATCGATTGTGCGGAGTGGAACGCATAAAGATGTCTTGCCTGGAGAAGAGAAGGCTCCAGGGAGACCTCAGAGCCCCTTCCAGTCCCTAAAGGGGCTCCAGGAGAGCTGGGGAGGGACGCAGGTCGAGGGAGGTCATCCTTCCCTTCTACTCTGACCTGGTGAGGCCACATCTGGAGTACTGTGTCTACTTTTGGTCTCCCCAGTTCAAAAAAGACAGGGAGGTACTGGAGAGAATTCAGCAGAGGGCTATGGAGATGGTCAGGGGACTGGAACACCTTTCTTGTGAGGAAAGGCTGAGGGACTTGGGTCTTTTTAGTCTAGAGAAAAGAAGATTGAGGGGAGATCTTATTAATACTTACAAATACTTAATGGGAGGATGCCAGGGGGATGGGAGCAGTCTTTTTTCAGTGGCGCCCAGTGATAGGACGAGGGGTAATGGGCATAAACTTGAACATAGGAAGTTCCATCTTAACGTGAGAAGGAACTTCTTTACTTTGAGGGTAGTGGAGCACTGGAACAGGCTGCCCAGAGAGGTGGTGGAGTCTCCCACTCTGGAGCCATTCCAAACCCGCCTGGACGCTGTCCTGTGCAACTGCTGTAGGTGCCCCTGCTCTGGCAGGGGGGTTGGACTAGATGATCTCCAGAGGTCCCTTCCAACCCTGACCATTCTGTGATTCTGTGAGATGTCCCTGCTCATGGCAGGGGGTTTGGACTAGGTGACCTTTAAAGGTCCCTTCCCACCTAAACTATTCTATGATCCTGTGGTTCTCTAGGTTATTTTTAAGTGCCTGCTAGTTCTCTCGGAAAACTGCTATTTTCAGCTTTCTCCTTCTTAGTGCTTCCTTTCCAGCATCCTCCTAGAAACCTGCTCCTGGCAGGGGGGTTGGACTGGGTGACCTTTAAAGGTCCTTTCCAACCCAGACCATTCTGTGATTCTGTGAAAAGGTGCTTTGCTACGTATCCTCAAACCCTTGTCTTCTGCAGGAGTTGACAACCTGAAGGGAATTGCACATAGGACTCAGGATATAAATGCTTCACTGCTCCATCCCTCCGATCCTTTCCTTCTGTGCTAAATGTGTTGCAGATGGCTCTTGCCGTTACTCCATTGCCTGACTCACGTTAAACACAGGAATTTCAATGGTAGTAGCTTTTTCTTTTTACCCCTTGTTGCGAGAAGAGACATTCCGGGGAGCTGTGCTAGAAAGGAGCAGAGAAGAACAGTGTTTTTTCTCCCCTGTTTTCTCCACTGCACACCAGTGAAACCTCACCCATGATACAAGTGAACTGTGGCTTTCAAACCTTTTGCATAGCATAGCGGGAGAGACTGCACCTAAGGCTCTCCCTTTCCTGCCTGTGCTCTGGGTTATTTCTGCTGCAGCCTGGCTTAGCAGGTGTGCTGTTTACTCTTCTAATTTTTAGCAGAGGTTTTCATGCTTGCCCGGTCCCTTCTAAGAGGGATTTTTAAAGCATTCGTCAGGAATTGCTCCGTAAGTGTTAATTTAATGGCATCCTTATGGTCAGCATCTGCAGATAGCAGCAGCGTACGTGATGAAACTTTGTGCAGGAATCCCTGCCTACAGGCACGTGGCTCCAGCCTGAAGGCTAAGAGGATCCTCTAAGAGGATTTGAGGGTATTGGGAGTAGTTTGAAGCTGGGCTGTGTTGTTTGTCTGTGAAATATGTGGGATTGCTTCTTTGAAAGTTCTGTCTAAAGCCAGTGTTCTCTGTGGCTTCAGGTAGCTCTCTGGCACAGTGGTAATCACAGCTCCCCTGCAAGCCTGTTTGGTTTTCTCATGCAAGAGTTATAAAACATGTCACAAACGATGGGTATCTCTAGAACAAGAAAGCAAGCTTTTTTCTTTTTTTTTAATGGTATTAACTGCAGGAAAGAAAACTGCCTGGAAAGTATTTTTGAGGAGTTTCAGCTGGCAGTTTGGACAACGGCAGTATGTTCATCCCACGCAATTACCGTATGCCTTAGATGCCCATTGGCTCTTGACCTTCTTTCTTTTCAGTTGCTATCGAGTTTAGTAAGGGATAAAAAATATCCTTCTTGTAAAGGCTTGCAAGGCCCTCCCGTTTCCATCTCAGTCGTGACTGTCATTACCTGTTAGAAGTGATTCCACAGGACTTGTAGCTTCAGGGACGTGGTGGAAAGCTGCCGCTTCTCCTCTGTGTGATGCTCTAGAGTGTGACTTGGGAAGTGGAATTTGTGCCATGTAAACTTCAGAATACCCAGATACCCGTCCTCTGTCGTGTGAGGTGGCATCACATCAAGTTTGGCCAGGTTACCAAGTAGGCAGTAGCACTGTTGTTGTTTAAATACTCTGTAGTTGAGGCTGCTAAATGAATTTAAAGTGGAGCTGAATGCCTTAACCAATCTTTAACACAGTGAGTTTGGAGGATACTACTGTAATTGCCACTGATGGAGCAGAATTTCTCATTCAGCCTGCTTTCTCAGCTTGCTTTCCCACTCAGTCATCTCATTAAGCACTCTGGCATTGTCAAGGAGGGTGGGAGGGTAAGCTGTTGCTGGGAGAATTGACTGGATCAGAGTTCATGGGATTCAAAACTGAGGGAGTATTGGGTTAAGGTTGTGTGTCTATGTCCCTAAGAGGACCTTGTGCAATTCTTTAAATTGTCAGCTCGCACCGAAAAATAGTTTCGGACAGCTGTGCCTGCGCACGTAACTCCTGCCTTGTGCTTGTGTAGCAGGGATAAGTTTGGAGAGCAAGAGCAGCTGTTTTCTTCTCTCACTTCAAGCCAGTTCTGGACTTTTTCCTGGTTCTAATACATGCTATCTCACGGTGCCGGTGTGCTGTATCTTGCGTGCCACTTGTGTAAAATTTAATGGCTGAAAGCACAATATAGGGGCCTCCTTTGAATCAGCATCTTCATACATGGCAGTCATTACTGGGCTTTGTGTTATCATGCTCGAACTGGGGAACAGTGAAAAACCCAGAACTGATTAAAGGACAGTAATGAGTTCCAGATATTGTCCACTGGTAAAGGGAGGCAGAGTCACGCTCTGTAACAGTGAAATGCTCTGAAACCGATCCGGGCTGTTTTCCTTTGCGCTGGAAGGTGCGGGGTGGAGTTTGTTTTTTGTCAAAATGAGATCTGCTGAGCTGAGGGTCTGCGCTTGTGTATCTGCAAGATTCCGAAAATGTTTTTGGGAGGCGAACTATTTATGACTGAATCCTTTTCAGTTACATTAGATTGTTTTCCCTCCTCTTCCCCCCCTTTTCTTCTAGGTTGATTTATATCAGTTACAAGTAAACACACTTCGAAGGTACAAAAGACACTTCAAGCTACAGACCAGACCGGGACTTAACAAAGCACAGCTCGTTGAAGTATGTATGAGTGTTTGTTCCATAATAGAAAATGCAACTTGCTCTGGCATGTGGGTTTCTATACAATGTGATCCTTGCATAAAGAGCATATGTAATCTGGATTTTATGAGAACAAAAGGGAACTGCTTATCTAGCTTCCTTCATGGGCCACAGCTCCCGAGCCAAGTAAATCAAAAGTAAAAGTTCTTTCCACAGGAGGGACTCTTAACTTCCCAAAGGAGTGCGTGCCGCTTAGAAATACAAAGCGTTGAGTTGGAACAGTGAGACTATCTGCGTGTCCCCGAATGCCACAGAAGCACAGATTTATACTCTGCATGTCAGTTCCACCTTCACCCGAGGTCTCTTGCTGACAAGAACTAGAAACTGAGAGGCAGCAGTAGAGTGGCAGCTAGTTACTGCAATTAAAAAAAAAAAAAAAAAAAGCAAGTTACTGCAAACCTATGTGAAACCTATGTGTTTCTGTATATGTAAAGTATGGAAATGTGAAAAGCAGGCTTCTATTGATAATTCATTCTGTTAATTAAAACCACTGGGATCTGCCACCAGAAAAATGGAACTTTATGAAATTAGGTTTTTTCTTACCACTGTTTCTCAAAGCACTGGAGCTGTGTGTTAAGTGCAGCTGTGTGTAAGCAGCTTTTCTGCATGGGAGTGTAATTTTAAAGGAATTCTTCTGCGCTGCAGGGATGCAGTTACAGCATGCTGATGTGAGTCCGTGGGAGAACTGGTGATCTCCTCTTACGAGGGAGGTACAGCCGCCGTTTTTCCCCGTTTGTGCAGTGATACGCTCATTTTTGCTTTAGTGCAGACATTTTGTTGCTCTCTCCCTTAATCTGCGTGGATTAAAGGCAAGGTTCTTAAACGTGTGGGAGATCTCAAGGCTGAGCTGTAAAAGAATAGTGCTGCTGCCGCCACTATGAGTAAGACTTTAAAATCAGTCTTCTGTTTCCTTCTTCTGTGTGAGCAGAGGTAGAGCTAGCTCTTGAATGAGCAGGACTGTGATTTGAAGAAGCGTGAGCAGTGTTTGTCCTGCAAAACTAGCATTTCTAAGGGCCTGCTTTAGGTACATCTCCTGAGATGTTTGTGCTAGCTTATGCTTCTTACGCTGCTTTGTGTGACGTGCAGGTCTTGTGAGCAGTTGCTGCGGAACTGCCCTTGTTGGCAGTGCGAGTGATTCCTTGTCACCCGTCCTGGCGTGCGGTAGACGTTCCTCGAGCTGGTGCTTACAAGTCTGCTTTAAAGGACCCTGTCAAACTGTTTATCTGTGAATTTTTTGAGGGTGGGGTTTGGAAAGCTTTCAAACTTGCTAATTATGGGAAGCATTTCTACTTGTACCCTGTGGTAGTTAAATGAGCGGTCCCATTTTTCTCGCTTCCTCTTGCTGTTTTTAATCTACCAAAGTATTCTGCAAAAAGCCAGAGAATGGGCTTGGGCAGGTATGGCATTTTGAGTGCTTGCTTTTAAAGTTGGTGTTCATTTTGATGAAGGAAAAGACTTCTGGAATGAGAAAAGTGACTCGAGAACTGTTTAAAGATCATCATGTTTTAGCGGTTACAGCATGGTGAATTGTCAGCATCGATATCTTTGTTTCAAAGAGCTGAACGTACAGTTATAATTCTCGAAGTATTGTCTTAGATGTTTGTGTGTATACAGACACACATCCCCCCGACCTGAGCCATGAGCAGCAGCCTCTGGTTTCTGCGCTGCTGCTCTGTTGATATTCTGTTAGTCATTACTTGCTTTATAGCCCAGCATTGACCACAGTGGTGCGATGATACTCCTATGCTTGTTTTGAGAATTCTTTTTTTCTTTTACTTTTTTTTTCCCCCCCCCCTGAAAATTTCCTAGGATTTTATTTAGGGAATGAGGGCACAACCTGTTAGATTTGGTTTGCAGTTCTCAATCAAATGGTTCTTGTTCTACCTCTTTTATGACTATGAAAAACTTTTTGAAGAGAGGTAGGTGTTAGTTTCTCTCTGTTTTAAGCCTTGTAATCAAGCCTTTAAACTTTGTTTAATGTAGTGAATTTCAATCTGAATCTTCAGTTTCTGTGTATAAGAGTGGTTATTTAATTTCCTTGTGTTCTTCCTTTGTAGATAATTGGCTGCCATTTTAGGACAATTCCAGTGAATGAAAAGGACACCTTAACGTATTTCATCTACTCAGTGAAGAATGACAAGAACAAAGCAGATCTAAAGATGGATAGTGGGGTTCATTAGGCGGAAAAGGTTGGGACTGAGACTCAGGCCGCAAATCAAAAGACTGAGGGTTTTTGTTGATATGCAAAAGCTTTCTTTGTAACTTTTTTTTTTCCCCCCAGAGAGTTTGTCTCTGTTTTATTTTTCATATCCTTGCTGATTTGTTTGAAAACCATCTCTTATGAAACAAATTTCCTCGGCAAAAGTATTTTAAATAAATATCACTGATATTGTTGCTCAAGTGGGTGTGTCTTTAACTTATTTAGTGAGTTACTTGTACCTAATAGTTAAGCTTTGACTAATTACGTAAGAATATTAAAATATTTTTCAATTAAAGTGTGCCAAGGATATATTTATGAATGTATTTCAAGTTCTCATGATGCAATGCCTTTAAAAAAAAAAAAAAAGCTGTGGCAGGCTTGGCAATAGTTTTCCTAAGGTAAAAGGCTTTAAATGACAGTTCCAGTTGTTAGCTGTGCAGAAATGGCTGAATAACATTTTCTGCGTTCCCCCTTGGAAAGAAGAACTGATGGGGGCTTTGGTTTGTTTATTCATCTTGTCAGTGCTGGAATATGTGCTTCCAAGCACCGCGGCCTTCCTGCTCCTACATTAAAATGGGGAAAAAAATGCAGCTCTCGAATTTCAAAGCTGTAAGTAGGGATGAAAAGCCTGCTGCAGCTTAGTGTGCCGAGAAATCCTTCCACTCGGTGAGAAATCCTTTAGCTGCTGACTTCTGCATTCATCTGCACAGGCTGTGGCTAAGAACTTAATTGGAGGATGGAGGACGGAGCTTGTGCCGGGTCAATACGGTGTCTCCTAATAGGCACGCTGGCTCCTTTTCAGGGCACGCATTGGCTCAGCCCTGTTTAAAAATAACGAACAAACAAACAAAAAACCCTGACAAAAAAAAAAAAAAAAACCAAGCCCAAAACTTACGACAACATATGAGGAAAAATATCCAGTGATACTTTTGCTTTTAATTGAGTATCTTGGTGAAGTCTGGTGTTGAGGATGATATTAGGAATGCCTTCTTGTATTGTCATTTAACTGTTGTGCCCGTCTAAACGAGTGGTGTGTGGAATATGATTTCTTTCCGCTTTAAGCTGCGCACACAGGCTGAAGAAAAGGCGGAGGGAGAAGAGTTCTCATCTTAAAGCAGAGGATGGCACGGCTTCAGCTTGTTCAGTTAGCATTTGTTGCTACCCCTAACCTTATCAGATGTTCAAAAGCTTTTTCTTAATTGGGGAAAAATGAGAAAGCGGTATTTCTATGGTCTAATCTGCTCGATGTTCTGTGAGGTTTTTTTTGAAGCCTGCTGCTTTGCTGGCATCGCTGCAACCAAGATGCTCCACTTTGCTGGTTTGACCCACGACGCTGGCGTAGAAGAACGGCATGATGATAAACCCTGACCCCAGACTGGCTGCTCTCCCAGGAGCTCTCAGTCACCCGACTTCCTTCACTTGCAGCGTCTTAACGTATTTCCACAGCAAACCTCTGCGGAGTTGGCCGAAGTTCAAGGCGGTTAGTGATATCTAGCTAGCCGCTGCGAAAACTGGTATTCCTTTGAGGAGAAGAGATGTTTTAGCGCCCGTTCCACTATGATGACTGTCAAATTGTTTGCTGAATATCCTTTGCGCCAATGCAGCTCGTCATCTTCACAGTGCCAGTTGGGGAAACAGCCGGGGAGCCTGGCCCTGGGTAGGACAGCCCAAGGGTGACGGCTTTCCCTCTGAGCACGTGCCGGGCCGAGTGCCCCCCCCTCGGCCTGGCAGGACCTGCGGAGGAGCCTGGCAGGAAGGAGAATGGGGAGAGAAAAGCAAGTTTCTGTGGGAAATCACTCAAAGCAGTAGCCGAAGTGACCCAATCCTGCTGCGTGGGGAAAGCGGACAATTTTTTCTCCGCTGGACTATGGATTTCCTGAAAGTGGTGGAAGGAAAGTAAGTGAAAACCGGTTACTAACTTTCCTACCCAGATTTGCATCTGCCTTGGAGGTTTTGCTGCCGCTGCTTTGGCCAGCTGTGAACGGCACACACGTGCAACGCGACGCACGCGGAAACTCGACGGCACAACCAAGAGGAGCTACGTGCCCTCGGTGCTGCTGGAGGCTCGTGGAGGACTTCGCACGAGAGCGGATACTGTATGTTTTCTTAGCAGAGCACTGACTTTGGATATTTTGACTGTGGGATGCCAGATTTATGTGTTGGTTGTTTTGTTTTTTTTTTTTTTACCCTTAATTGATGATTTGGTAGGAAGCCCAAATGACTCAGGAATAATTACACAAACCAGGCTTAAAACGCCTGGTGACACAAACTGTTTGTTTAACAGTCGGTAGCCTGAAAATTACTTGGCAAAAATAGCACACACAGATTTACTTGAGACGTTTATTATTAGCTATGTTTAATCGCCCCCCGCCCCCACTATGCAGCCCTCGTTTACTAACAGAGGCAGCAAAAACAGTCATCCTGGTGTTTCATACTGCACGTGAGATAAGGCAGCTAAAGCGGTGGTAGCGGCTTTCCTGGTGTGATGGGGTGGGATTGTTACATGGACAGTACGCTTCTAGAGTGGAAAAGACTAAATAGTTACTCCGGTGCTACTACTTGATAGCGACAGAGTTTTCCTATGTCGGGCGATAAGCGAGGTTTACCGCCCATAACCCCGGCTCCTTGGGCTGGCTTTTCTTAAGCTTGCAAAGGGAGGTCGATTTTTGGCTGGTTTTCTGTTGTACCGCAGTCAGTATTGGCAGGTGTTGGGAGGCGACTGCGTGTCTACAGCCTCCATCACGATACCGCTTAAACGCTACGGCGATTACTTCTGATATTTTGAGATACCTCTTTGTCTTCCCGTCCCTGGCTGTTTCCTTACAGGGCTAGCCTGAAAATAAAAAGCCAGCATTTCAACTTAATTCTGGGGTACTGCATTTCAAACAAGGCTTGATTGAAAAAAGCTGATTAACTGGGGATTTTTGTGTTGCCTTAACAGACCTCGCATCAATCCCATCCTCCTTTCTGAATATATATGTACTCTATTGTAACTGTTCCATATTTTAAGTGCTCGACGTTAAGATTGAGTAATTTAAGGTTTTACAGATGGCCTGGTTAGTGCAGGTGAGCAGTTAGCTGTAATTAAGACCAAAGTGTGCTTTAGTACTATTAATGTGAGTGTTGACTTTTTTTTTTCCCCCCACAGTGGAATTTTCAAATATGAATGGTGAAAGTTTGCTTTTTGTATGTCCGTGTATTTTAAGATATCTCCGTGGAATGTTGGAGCCTGTCTGCAGAAGACCGAGGAGCTTCGGCGTAAACCAACACTAACCGCGGTGGCAATAAAGCCATGGGAAGCTGCACTGCCGTAGCTTGCACCGAGCGTCACGGTCCCACTTTCTTCGTCCAGACTAGTCGGGAATGTTGTGCTGAGTAAGAGGAGCCAGCCTTATTGCTGGGGAACGCGTGTCGGGGTGCGTTAAGAGCTCCTGCAGTCTTTTACACTGTTACGGAAATTAAGGCAGCTACCAAATTTGAAAGGAGAACTTAGATAGCTGAGATTTCAAAAAGGTATAGAAAGGAAATTTTCCTACAGAGTATAAAGAGTCACTGTCTGTAGTTAGAAAGGAAGGTTTTCTTCTTGGGGATGGTTTTGTTTTTTCCCCTTGAGAGCATTGTTACGTGATTGTAGAACGGTATCTGTTGTCTTCCCCGGCAGACTTGCAGTCCGTCACTGACTGTCGCAGGGGATCACAAAAGCTATCTTTGATCCAAAGAAAATATCCCTGAAAGATAATAACCAGAGATTTAAATAATTAGATTGTTGCTCTGCCAGAGCTTTAACATAACATTCATTTCCAGTTATGGGGTGGGGTTTTTTAGCTTTTGGGGGGATATATGTGGAATTGGTGTGTTTGTTGCCTGTCCCGCCAGCAATGCAAAAGCGACTGCCGGTCTGGATGAAGGTCCTGTGTTTCTGCCCCTGCTGGCCTGGGTTGGAACGAGGGCACAACTTCCACTGCCAAGTGCCGGGACTTCACCCTGGTGTTTTAGCTTTGAGAAAGTCAACTTAGCAAATATGTAATTTTAGAAAAATCAAGAGCTTCCGCATGCACACGCGTGCTGTTTAGTTCAATTTGTCCCGAGAGCAGACCTGCAAAGTAGGTCTTTGGTACCTCAAGACGGTTGAAGGAAGACCTCCTTATTGCTGTCTATCAAAGTAGGAGGCTTTCAAAGCTCAGAGGTTGAAGCTGGAAACCCAAAGTGTGCTTCAGGCTGAGGACACCATATCTGGGTTTAGAGATAGTGAAACATGTAAAACTTATTTAAACCCTTCCCTCCGTTGGAATGAGAGGCTCCTAGCTTTAGAAGTCATTCCCACTTGGTTCAAATCTGGTCCCCTCCGGGAGCGCTGAAAAGTTGCCTTTTATTGGATTTTAGGGGACTTGAGAAAATTTGGAGCGCATATAAAAAGTCATTTTTACTTGTTTATGTAATGCCATCACATTTTAGTGTCCCTGAAGTATTGATAAGTTTTGAGGTGTTGATATTTTTAATTCAAATTTCCTGAAGAAAAGATGTTGCTGGTAAGCTGAATAAGATAACGCTCTTCATACATTTTTATGACTTCAACCCAGCATGGGCTGACAGTGTTTATTAACGCAGTTTTGTTGGGATGTGCGTTCCTCCTGGAAACAACAAAAACCCCGTGTTCAGCAAGACCTTCCGCATTCGGTGCTGTCAGCAGTACCGGCGAGCGGGAGAAGTGTTGGCATTGCTGGGCTAAATCTTTTCCCTCCCTTGCAGGCGTTTGTGAACCTCTGTTCCCCCCCTGTTTGTGCTCTGACTTTGAAGAGCGCTCTGCACAGAACTGTCTATTCAACTGATGTATGTGCCTACGCCTTAGAAGAGCAGTACGGTCCTTTACCGCAGAACAGAAGTCAAATGGTTTTGTTTATGGACCCGAAAACATCTTCACTGCAAAGTGCTGGCGATGAGGATTTGATGGAGCTGTGCATACTTAGTTTAGCTCAAACAGAAGAGCCGAAAGTTGGGTGATGTAAATGCTGAAGTCCCCTATAACAGGACATGCAGGTTTACAAAATATGCTGAGGGTGTCCCGGGTGAGCCCCTGAAAAACACAACCTGAAACCTGGCAGCGTATCAGGTAATCGGCCGTATCTTGGTACAACTTCAAACCATCTGACAGTGATGCCTTTCTTTAAAATGCCTCCTTGTTCCTCCAGCGGGACCCGCAAACCCATGGGGACGCGGCGGGGACCCGGCGGGCTCTTACTTGGGGCAGCAGAGCAGCTCCTCCCGGGTGCAGTAACAGATCACCTCGCAGCCCTCTCCTTCCCAGAAGTGATCCTGCAGACCGCCCGGCACTTGCCGGAGGTTCTCGGCGCCCTGGGGGATGCTGTGGCAGCGCAGGTCTCCCAGGGCCCTCCGGGAGCAGGCGGGATGCCGGGAAGGGGCGGCGGGGATGCCCAGGAGGGAGCTCAGCAGAACCAGCGCCGGCACCATCCTCATGTCTGCGACGGTTCCTGCAGCCGGGTCTAAAGAGAGAGGAGGTAGGTGACAAGGCAGCGCTGCTGAGCCGGGCGCTTTCCCCAGTTTGCCCGCGATGTTCTTTCCCGTGAACTTTCGGAGGTTTGAGCCTGAGTGCCGGAGAGTGTTTTCTCCGAGGAGATAAAATAGCATTGCAGCAGAATTGATATGCGTTACTTTCTGTGCAACCTGGGGCATGCCTTTCCTCGGGAACGGCGGCTTCTCTCCTTTCTTTGGCCTCTTGCCCGGGTAGAATCGCTCGGGCTGGCGGTGATTGGGGGGGACGCAGTGATTGCCGCCAGACCTGGGAGGGGGTGAGGGGGGTGGTCTGAGTGCCTTTCCTTCCCTTCCCACCCATTTTCCCTGTCGAAACAAGGGGCGCTCACATACAATTAATAGTATCTTTCCCCATCAAAGCTGGGGAAAAGCTGTCTGCTGATGGAATCCTCCCTTACGGACAGCTGGAGGAACCGAAGGCGTGAACAGCCCAGGAGGCTGCAGCTCTGCCACGGGGCGGCTGAGAACGTTCTCTTTATTTAATCTTTTCTTTCTTTGAAGTACTGCAAGCCGCCTCCACTGAGTCTTGCGACAGGAGGTCATCGCGGTTTAACCGATGCCCCTTTTTGAAAAGCGACTGGGCTTCCCAGTGCCCACGGCCGCTTGCTGGGCGCCGGCTCCGCTGTCCCGCGCTGCCACCAGACCCCGGGTGGCACCCTTCCGCTCGCATTCGCTTTCAAACCCGCGTTTCGAACAGTGCTTCAGACTCGGCTTTATTGCTGTTAGGAGGGAGAGTGGGTTTTTTTACCGTTCCGCGTGCTTGAACGGAAGGGGACTGACACCGCGCTGAGTTTAAACGGGAATTCCGCCCGGAGAACTGACCCGAAGCGGCGGTGGGCTCTTGCTGCCCGCTGGGCTCGCGTTAGCCCCGGGGCACCCGTGGGCTCCTGGGAGCCAACCCCCTGCCCCTGGTTCCCGAGGGAAGATCTCTTCTCTTACCGCGCGCCCGCTGTAGCAGTCGCGAAGACAACGGTCCCGCTCGGGTTATTTTGTGAAACTCTTGAGGTCACCTTTGAAAAAAGAAACAATAAGCTATTAAATGGGTATACGTACTGTATTGTGTAGTGGTTTGTCCCAGGTAGTTCCATCACCACCACGGCTATCTTGCTGTTCTTCCATTTCTTCGGGCAACGAATGACACACCAGAGAATATAAGAAAATCTGGGAACTCAGATTTCCTGTTAGGGATAAAGTACTACACCTCAATGCTCTTCGATTATATTTTTCCATAAGATTTTCTGCAAACTTTTTTTTTTTTTTAAAACACCGGTAGCCAAATAAAATATTAAAAAGTGGCCAATGTATTAAAGAACATGACTGAAGTGAAACTACGCTTTTGCGTATTTTCGAACTTCTGTCATAGAAGCAAAGTTCATTGAATGATTGCTTTTCGTTTCCCTGAGCTCGTTTGTGAACTTTTGAGTAGGAGACTCCCATAAACTCCCGGTAATGGACCCTCGGGGATCCATTTTTTAATTACCTTCGAGTGCAGTATTGAATAACATACTGTCTTTTATTAGTTCTAGACCTCAGAACTGCTTCTCAAATAAAGTAAACATTGTTCTAACGTTGCCCAATGTTGTTTTTCAGACTCGAGGAAAGAATCTGTATTATTATAATAATGGTTTTGTTTTGCAGGAGTATAAACGCGGCCGTTAGGAGGGTTCTGCTCAGAGCAGTCTAATGCTTGAAGAGAACAAGTTTGTTTATACTATACCTTGATAAATGCCAATGTCAGGGAGTACAACTTAACAGTCCTCTGTTCAAATAATTGAGCTTAATTATTTAAGTATTTCATGGAAGAAAATTTCCATGAAGGAGAAATTTAGGAAGCAGTGGGTTTATGCCTTTGTTTCCTGTGATTGGATTATCCTGCGAGTTCTTCCCCTGAGGATGAGGCATTCATCATTTCTTGCTCTTGTGTATGCTGGTGTTTCGGTTTTTTTTATTCCTAATAATTTGGGTGATCTTTCTGCACCTGGATTTCAGCCAGATTGCTCATCTGAATCTGTTCCCAGCTGTCTGTCTGCTCAAAATTTGTAGGAGCTCATTCTGTCCTGAAAACGGGCAGATTTTCTATAGACTGTCAAATTGCTGGATTCAAAATCGCGACTGACGGTTTAAGGTAACTCACTACTTGCCGTGGACTAGAGCAGGATACCGCCACACTGCGTCCTCGAGAGGGCTTACGTGGATAACTGCCGAAATCAGTATTAGCAAAGCGGATGCGCGGGTGAGCTGCGGATCGCCGGCTGCGCCGTCAGGTCAGTTACGCATCTCACCGGTGCGCGACGTTGTTATTATTCAGAAAAAAAAAAAAAAACAGTGTCTTTATTTTATTGCAATTTTATTTCTGCTTAAATTTCTCCCTTGGGTTTTTTTTTTTTTTTTGCAGATCATAACCGAAAGGAAACTGTTGGTCAAAAGACCTTTCTTCAAAAGGTTATTCCTTTCCCGTGAGAGAAAGGCGCCTGCTCGCGGCTGAAGGATTGCCCGGGACCTGAAGCGTTTCGGCAGCTCCCTGCAGAGGATCGCTCGGCTGCAGTGTCTTTTCCTGACGAACCGCTGCCGCTTCTTTTCGTGAACGTGCTCGCAGAGGTGATGGCCCGTCACCGACTGCCTCGGCAAAGAGCAGAGCTGGTCCCTGCCTGCTTATTTCAAAATACACGGCAAAGACCTTACCTGCTTTTGTGTACCACGGAAATGGTCTTTTCTCACCAAAGTCAGGTAAAGGTGATGAATAAGTCCAATTGCGAAGGTGACTCAAAGACTCCCCCCCAGACTCCTACATTTCTATACTTTATAAAACCTTCTGGAAGGTTTTATGGCGCTACGCCTGAGCAGGCTGCTCTGCCGAGACTCTGCAATTTCGAATTCTGACAGGAGTAAAGCCATCAAAACCCGTTTAAAACGATCCCCCTGCGTTAGCAGAAGTTCCTTTTGGTGAATTACTTTGGTTTCTTTGGCACGGTGTAAGTAAAGTTTGAGAACAAGTGCGGTTGGGATAACGAGCGCTTGGAAATAACGTGGAGTTTTGTGTAAAGGAGAATTTGGGACGCACGCGGCAAGTCCGGAATCCGTGGCAGCCCTGCTCGCTCAGCTGGGAGCGCTGGGAGCGCCCCGCCAGGTGGTTCGGGTCCCCTCGGCGCCGCGGTAGCCAGAAAGGACCACAGAGAACACCCCGAGTTTCGGCCCCCTTGGCCAAGACCCAGAGGGGAACGTCTCATGAGAGGTGACGCCCTTTGGAGGCCACACGCTCTTAGTAGGAGCTCCGGTGGCAGAAATAGGGAAAACTGAGAAAGGGCACAAAATGCGTATTTCAGCACCTCTAGAGATCAGGCATGTTTGGGAAAAGATAAATATTTACAGTTTAGTCTGTCAGCTGTGAAATATACCCTTCAGAGTTTGTATCTCCAGTTGTGCCCTGTTGAAAACAAGGACTGCAGTAACTGGCACGCTTCTGGTGTACGGCCTTTCCCAGTCCGTCCAGTGGTACGTGCTGGGTTAACAAGTTGCGCTTAAAGTGAGACAAACTTAATATATACTCACTTCTTAACGTGCATTGAGTTCAAGAGCTAAAAGTATCTATTCGAGATAAAATGTCTTTTAATTGTTTGTATGTTTGTCAAGTTTCCATTTCGGAAACACCTGTAAAATGCTGAGCCAAGCATTTAAAATTTAGGTGCGTTAGTGCGTAATAATTAGGTTTATTAGTGCATTCCTAGGAAATCATTACACAAGAGCTGCACAATTGATAGTATGAAGATTTTTTTTCCATTAAAAAAATAATCCTTCAAATCTCTTTTGCTTGAACAGTTGGTGCCTTGTCAGGGCAGCAGCTACTCCACTGAGGATGAATTCAGTGAATTACTGCTTTGTAATTACCATCAATGCCATGATTCTTTCCAGAAACTGACTTCTCATTAAAACCCATTTAGTTTTCTTAAAGATAGCGATTCATTGTGAACGCACCTCTCTCCATATTCACCAGTTTTGCGATAATATTGAGCACTGGAAGGCAATATAGCATGTTAAATGACTTCAGATGTTAATGTGTTGCATCTACCTTTGGAGAAGACCAAGATAGTAAAAGAATTTTCTTTAGCTGGATCGTGTCCCTGCATCCATCTTGACTAGCATCTCCTGCCTACAGTATATCTGCTTCGCCCCAGTCTTCTCCCGCATGTTCCCATATACATTTCTAACACCTCTCAGTGGAACAAGGGCACAAGGATGATCTCCGGAGCAAGACCTACCTTTCTCTTCTGCTTCGCTCCCTTCCCCTTCCCTGGCAGCTGTGTCTTTGTAGACGTGCCCAGGGAGAGCGTGAGCCCGCGGGGATGAGCGGCGAGGGCGGGCCGAGGGGAGATGCTCAACAAACAGCCCTTTGTTTGTCCTGACTTCTGCTGCCGTGACGCACCCTTCTCCAGCGACGGGATGGGGGATGGGGATTGGGGAATGGGGATTGGGGAATGGGGAATGGGGAATGGGGGATGGGGATGGGATGGGGTGGGATGGGATGGGATGGGGATGGGTGGCCAGAGCTGCCCTCGGGCAGTCACTGCCAGGCTTGACTGGGGGAAGTGGATGTATCCCTTCCAGCGGGAAAGGATGAGTTCATCCAGGATCTGCTGAGCAGGTGTCTCCTCAGAGAGCAAAGTACAGCACCCAGGATGGAGAAGAGGAACCACCCTGTGGAGTCACGGTGTCCTGCTGTGGAGCACGAGCAGGCTGGGGGAGCGGGAAGGAGAGGGCTCCCGGGATCGCACCTGCGGAACGTAGTTGCTGGAGAGATGCCTTGTTTTGCACCGGGTGGGGGACACAGACCATGCCAGCAGTTTCATGCAATACTTGAATTCCTGACTTTGGGGTGCTTTCAGTTTTTTTTAAACTGAAATAATAAAATCCCCTGTAATTACTTTACG